AACATACTGCGGAATCAATAATGCCCTCTCCCTGAATTTGGCGGTAATCTCTGCCACAATCTTTTATAGCCTGGTGAAGGTCTTGGAACTCCCTCACTAGCTATTGCACCTCAATGGATAGTGCAAACTCCTAATAAAAACTCTGAAAAAAATCCTCCAAAGTCATCACTATAATGGTCGCTGTCCCAACTACCCTGGTGACCTCCTCCCACCATTCTCGCACTCTGTCCCTGAGCAAACAGGAACCGAATCCCACCTTTGGCACCTCAGGGCAAACACTCATTCGCTGAGTATTCTCCATGTTAGTGATCCAGCAGTGGCTAGCGATGGGGTCCTTAATCCCAAAGAAATAAGGCGCTCTGCATGTCTTGAACTCCTGAAATGAGGGAGTTCGAGCCTCAATCTGACTTACGGAAATCTCGGCTCGGAAAGACTGGAGCTACTCCTCCATGATCTCTATAATCCCCTCCTTGACGGTACCAAAAATCACCGGGGTAGCGTCAAGGATTCGGCGAGTAACATCAGCTGCAATGAGCTCACACAACCTCTTATCAATCGGCTCAGCGCCTGAACCCGAACCTGAATAAGAGCCTGATCCTAAACCTAAACCTCCTCGTGTAGTCATCACCATCCTCAAACTGAAAATACAACATAGAAAACAATTGATAATGAAGTTCGAGGGGACTCCTCCTCACCGGTCTTCTTAGAGTTTCCAATTCTACACTCGTCTTGGGTACAGTTCCTATGCTTCCAGTAGTACAGGCCCAATACTACCTTCCACACCTACCTGTACCTTCCTCAAGGTCAGACCTAATTCCTATAATTCACAAAACTATGCTCGGAAACATAACTCATATAACACAACACACACATATTCTAGACTTTTCTACAATTTCTTAATCCTCACATAACCAAAAACATCAATCAACACTACAGGTTGCCTTATATATGCAAGTTATACACAAACAAAATCACATAAACTATCAAATAAAGTTTATAACCTAAGTCTACAACCAAACAAGGAACAAGAAATGAGGAAGAATCCATCATTCTAGGGATATGTAATCCTAATCATATATAACTTTAAAAGAATACACTTAGCAAGTAGCATACTCAACATCAATTCCAAGTAATACATGGCATCCAGTTTTCCTAGTCTATAAGGCATCACACAAGTCATGCAATTCTATCACATAGCTCGTGAAGGTATCCTTAGCCCTACTCAAGCATTCAATTCACATATCACGCATACTAACAGTAACACATAAGCATGGATAATTTAGGAAACACTTACTTGAGCTTGGCCGATGGCACACATTGCACTCTCCCTTTTTACTTAAGAAAACATTTTTTAGAACAATTCAACTTTTTTCTTTAAAAAGATTATCATTTCCTCAATTTGATTTTCGACACACCCGAGAGTGTGCTTGAATCCCTCAAAGCAAGACTCTGATACCAATTTGTAAGAGCCCAAACACTAGAATAAAATTTTTCATTTTCATTTTCTAAAATAAACAAGTGCCATAGATATAAAATTTATCCAAAACCATCACAATGTATAATCGTTGTGTCATCTGAGTATAATGTCAACAATGCGGAAATAATGGGAGAGAATGTTGTGCCATCAAGCCAGGCCCATCCTCTTAGTACCAGAAGTACCTAAAACTATAAACTCAAACTATAAGCAAACTCTTAGTGAGTTTTCCCAAAGTACAACATACGAACAAGAAGTTAATGCTATGGGCCAAACCATAGTCTTAGAATTACTACCGGGGGCCAAATCCTGGTCTTAAATTCAAGTGGAAGGGGTCGCATCCTGGTCTTTCATACATTTGACAGGGACTAGATCCTGGTCTTCTATACGATTGCCAGGGGTCACATCTTGGTCTTTCATATACATATTACACAAATAATCTGATACTATAATGCAAAGGATGGGCCGACTTTGGTGCGTTCGACCCATTGATACATTAAGAAACTCACCTCAGTTTGCTGGAAACAACAAGATGATCGACTGCTAAACAGGAAGGTCCCCCACTAACATAAACAAATAGCCTAATCAGGGTTACTTCACAATCCCAAATCATAGGCCTAAGCCCTAAGTCCAAACTCGTAAAGTAAGGGATAAAATTATTTTACCCTTAGTGGGCCTAACCATTCATGGCCGAAACACAATAATGGCTCCAAAGCCCAAAAGGTCCAACTTCCACTTAAGGCCTATTCACAGAAGTCATAGGCCCACTTGCACTAAACATGTCAAGGCACAAAACCAACTAAGGCCCATTGACCTAAAAGCATAACAAAAGTCCAAAAGACTAATGGGAACGTATGCATGGCGTAATCACAGTACGCTCAGCATACTTGACTGCCATGCAGTAGTTGTTGCGTACACCATGGTACACTAAGTGTACTAAGCTGCTCATCACCTTAGTCATTAGGTGCTTAAACCATGCAGCCACTTAAGCTAACTTCCAGATCTCAGTTATTAAGGAGGTCCTAGGGCCTAAAGTTGGAAACTTTATGCCTTAACATGTCTTATAGGAGTCAAACATCCATTTTTGTTCATCAAGGAACACATAAAGGACCTAGATTCATGCATGACTTCATATCAACCATCATGATATCATTTTTATGCTTCTAACACGCCAAATGGACTAAGGTCTAGCATTTCTAGCTTCTGGAGTTCCTCAAACTCCAGAAAGAGAATCCATGGACCAAAAATGAGCTTATAAACAAACCTTAACTGTAATTATTAAAATGATCAACAAGGTATGAGATATTTACCTTCAAAGGCTTCATAAGATGATGTAGATTCAGGATCTTGAAGCTCAATCACATCCAAGGCTTTCTCACAAACTTCTTCTTCTTGCAAACACGCCAAAAAGGCCACTAAAGTTACTTTCAAGCTCAAAGATCACTCTCAATGGGAAACTAGGGATTTAATGATTTTGAAAAGCAGAGGACACTGATAAGGGTAAGGGTTTAAGAGTCATAAATGTGTTTAAATAGGGCTCATGCCCTATGATTAGGATTTCAGCTTTGGCCACATACACCCTGGATACTCCTTGTACGCCCTGCGTATGTGGATTAGACTCCCGATTTGCCAAGCACACGTATGCTAAGCGAACATAGATGTACACCCAACGTACGAAGGGACCTCTTTGGTAATAATAAACTTATTTCAAGGAGTTAATAGGAAAATACATGGATTCAAGTGTTACAAGTAGGATTAATTATAGACGTAAATAATCGAGATCAACAAATAGCTGATAAATCAGAACACCAAAAAAGAACAAGGTGCGTGAAAGTTACAGTGATACACAAATATCTCAAATCAAACAATAAAGTTGATTCGATAAATTTATTTTACAACAAATCTACCACTAACGACGAACAACAGACATTCAAATGCCAAACATCAACTCCATTAATGGCACCTCATTTTCACATCTTTTCGCGTTGACCGCTGATGATAATGTTGACCGTTAGGTTTAATAAGTTGTTAACCCTAAACGTTTAATTTATCACAAACGTTTACTCCCAAAATATCGTGACCAAGATACCACCGGAATTGATCGAAACTAATCAATCCAACCATGTGATAACATATTGGAGAAGAACAAAGAACCGTATCTACAACGATATGATAACAACAGACCGAAGAGGAACAAAGGACTAGGTCTGGATCGAGAAACTATAGGAAACCTTAAGAGTCTAGACCTGAAACCCTAACAAATCCAGACAAACTCATATAAAAAACATCCTACGAGGTTGTGATACCATCTAAAAAACATACAATGATAAAAAAACACAAAACTTCACAACATCAACAACTCTTATTCATAAAGGACCAGTTGATTTCATGTACTTACAAGCAAAATCCTCTTTATAACTCTCTACACTCTTACAAAAGCTCATCTCCAGCACTCACCTAATGTACTCATACAAGACAAAGAAACAACGACAATTTTTACAACATGAACGAACCGTAACTGAGTAAACCCTAAACGATATCAATGACTCGGGAGAGAAAATATGAGAAGTGTGTGTGAAACATGAATCAATTTTACTGAAACAACTCACACACAACATACTTTATACATCGGGTACAAACCGGATTAAATACGGGTAAATATGACCAATTCTCACTCGAATAAAACCCGCGTGTCCAAACATGTTTCAATCAATTAAGTCGCAACCCAAAAGAATTAGCTTCCTTACAAAACTAGTACCTTGCAAGAAACACAAAGCAAAACAAGAAACCACAATAAACAAAAAATAACCCAACACAACAAAATATTAACAAAATAAATCAAGGATACTTTCCAACGATATTTGACAATGATAAGGAAACATTCATTATTCTCAACATCTCTTGAAATATTGAAAGCTATGTTCACGTGAAAAGAAGGTAGGGTTGTTCCCTACATCTCTTAAAACTTGAGGAGGTCCCTGAAATCATCCTTATTGCATCAAGGACTTAGGGCATCTACAATGTATTAAACTTATTAGAGTTAAATGGATTGACACATCATCATTCTACTTATTATACAACTCTATATTAATTTTTCTATAATGTATTGAACTCAATAGAATTCAACAAAATATATATTTAATAGTTAAAAGATTTTTTTTTTCCATTTAACAGTTCAATGGCTATTGAACTTCATATCCATGGAATGTCAACATGACATCCCACAATAGTAGAGTTTAATCCATTAAATGTTAATTAAACATGTCACATCATTCAACTATCTTATTGAACTATAAATTGTGGATGCTCTTACGCGGAACTAATATTCTATAACTCGTATGTATTAATTTTTTAATAGTATAATTTGTGTTTTATACTCTTGTTCTAACAATAGAATATAAGACACACCAAATACCATGGCAAGTCCCTTAGCTATTTTTTTACATTACATTTACAAACAAAAATAAGCTCATGATAAACTCTTTCAAATTATGATAGCTATTAAATACCATTTTCTTATTTGTAATTAATGATGTTCTTCCACATGCATCAGCATATCCACAACCTGGCTCATGGTTGGTCTTGCATCCTTATCATCCTCACAACATTGTAAAGCCACTTTAATGAGAATTTCCATTCTCTTCTTGTCGTACTCCCCTTCAATTATTGAATCTATAATTTCTTCAACCCAGCCATCGGGTCCACTAGTGGCAATCATCTTTTCTCTCACCCAGCTATCTAGCCTTCCTTCAGATCCCCCACTCTGATTAGCACCCGTTGGGCTCCTCCCTGTTATCATCTCTAACATCACCACACCATAGCTATAGACATCAACTTTTGCAGTTATCGGAAAATTAACAAACAACCATTCTGGAGCCATGTAACCTCTTGTCCCTATTGCTCTTGTAAACTCTGAATTACCAGTCCCATCTCTATCCAACAACTTCGATAACCCAAAATCTGCTACCTTGGGCTTATAACGACAGTCCAGTAATATATTATGAGGCTTAACATCACAATGCAATATCCATTCCAAGCATTCTTCGTGTAGATAAGCAAGTCCTCTTGCTGTGCCCAACGCAATGTCAAACCGCTTATCCCAATCGAGTTGAGTGGAATATAAGTTGTGAGCCAGTGACCCATATTCCATATACTCGTAAACTAAAAGCCTGTGTTTACCTTCAGCACAATACCCCCACATCTCTATCAAATTCATGTGATTAAGCTTCCCAATGGTTGTTATCTCTGCTAGAAGTTCAGCTTCCCCTTGCCTTTTACTAGATTCATTAAGATGCTTAATTGCAGCAATTCGGTTATCAGACAACACTCCTTTGAACACAACGCCACCACCTCCTCTCCCTATCTCGTTGCTGAAATTTCCTGAGGCTTTCTTTAACTCGGCATAGCTGAATCTCCTAAATCCACTTGCAGTTTGGAGGTAATTACCTTGAGTGGTTGAATGTAAATGAATTCCATAACAGAAGTATGTTACGCAGATAATCTCCAATGCCCCAAGTACACTTGTTATTATCAGCATCAGGAACTGTATCGATTCATTTTGCCGATTAATGTCATAACTTCGGTCAAGTTGGATTGCAGGTTTCCAGGAACATTTTAAACTGAACTCTTCACCGATCTTAATGTTTTTGGAAGATAAGGGAATATCTTTTGGAACCTTTAGATACATGGAACCATTAAAATCAGATGAGCTTAATCCATTCACCAACAGGAACTTTGGGTAACAAATAGAAAACCCTTTCTTCCAGTCGTTCTTGAACTGGAACCCTTTGCAATCGCACATATTTCTGCACACTTGCTTACACTCTTCTAAAGTTGTATTAGGCATGTATCTACGATCATATCCATAGAAGTCGAAATGAGGAACATGTAGGAATTGATCCTCACCATTACCACATAAAGTCGGCTTAAATTCGGGTTCACAACCATATGACCAATCTGTGTGATTGATCATCCTGTGATTTGGTAGGCATGAACATTTCCTACCATAGACAGGGTCGTTGGAGCATGTACTATTTTCTCCACAACATCCATGGATATAGCATGTGTTAGAAAGAGCTTGCCATGTAACATGCCAAATTCGTGTGATCTCATCCAGACTGTAAGCTCGGAAGTTACCATCAACATCCAACGTCAACCTTCTTAAAGGCTGATCTCCAGCGTCTGATGTATTGAATAATAGATCATCAGTTGAAATGAAACGACCAGAAGAATCCATTGTTGCAATTCTTCGGCTTCCATAGATATTCCGACCAGATTCCCATGCTCGTACGTCGGGACTAGGCCAATAGATGCCTGTTAATTTAGGGTCACTGTATACAAGTCGAACAACATTATCACTGTCGAAGAACAACTTGTAGTATCCTGATGAGTAATTGGTTAGGCTTCTTGAAGACACAAGTGGTGCATCTTTGGTGAGTGGTTGATTGGGAAGAAGGGTATCTGTTGGCGAGTCAAAACTTTGCCACAGAACTTTTCCTAGTTTATTTTGTAGGCAAAGGTTTCCTGAATCGTTCATTTTCAGCTGAGCAGATTTCGTTGAATCTCGAGTAGTTGTCCTCCATATAGGAAACCTTTGATATGCATCTCTTAAGACAAGATTTCCAGTTTTCAGCAACGAAAGTTTTGAGAACTTCCCGTTGACTGGTAAATCTCGGTTGGCCATCCATACTAGAGTAAGATTCCCGTCTGATAAAGCTTTCGTGAGCCATATTGAAAAGCAATAAGCATTCTCGCCTACCCTGTAAAATCCAGCAGTGTAAAAGCCATTTGGTGAGATCAAGAAGTCCTCCTTTTTCTCCACTGAGAGAGATGAGCCCAGTTTCAAACCAAAGGGTGGAGAAGATAAAGATGAGGAGTATATTAATGTAGTTCTACAAAGGAACATTAACCCAATCACATTTAAAAGATGTGGTAGAGCCATAGGTAAATTGAAATGTTAGTTCAACTACTTTATAATAAGAGTACATGGAGCCTTCACATTATATGGTTAGATATGGGAACATTATATTAATATCATATCATTATCAGGGAGGATAAACAGTAGGAGGCACTCGCAAGACATTATTAACTTTGATATTGAGCAGGTGGACGATATGCTGAAATCGGTTTAGGTGCATTAAATTTCAGTATTATTAGTAGTGCTATCAAATATGTAAACGAATAAACCAATCGAACCAAGAAAGTTGGTTACCAATATATTTGGTAGCCAATATGTTTGGTTGGTAGTACCGTACCAATTCAATAAATTTCGTATGGGTATTAAATTTTAAATGCCACCGTATTACCGTACCAACCAATCCATATATATATATATAAACGAAATAGTATTTTTAAATGTCAAGTGTTTATTGTTTACGATTTTATAAATTATGATATTAGATATTACACTTAATCAATAGTTATTACCAGATTAGATAAAAAAAACTGAAAAGTCCCTTATTAATTTTTTTAGTAACTAGAATAGTTAATTTACTAATTTATATTACTCGACGAGAAAAGTGTCCTGTATCGTTACTAGTGTTTAACTATTACAATTGAAATTTTGAACAAAGTTGGTAATATATAATTACCAAATTGTACCAACCAAACTTGTTGGTAGCCAAACAAGTTGGTACCAAGTATAGTTGGTACGGTACTGGTAGCGAAAAATTCATACCAACTATAGTTGGTACGGTACACGGTTTGAGTAAAAATCAACTGGTACCGTACCATCTTCAACCCTAATTATTAGCAAGACTTTCACAGTCTAAATAATCATGTATCACTCTATATACCTATCCATGCAAATTAATATCCATATTGATCTTTTTTTGAGGTAAACACTTTTCTTTTAGATACAACAATAGCCGGGCAGGTTTTATTTACAACTAGACGAATATCTGCGCGTTGCGCAAAAACGCTTATATAGTTGAACTCCTTAAAAATATATGTTTTTTTTAAATATAACAATAAGATTGTGTTAAAATTGATATATAATCATTTTTATAGTAAAGTGATAAAACACATTGATTATTTTGAATTTATATGATAATATATACATTTATTATAACTTTATAATCTCAAAGGTTTGAATGATTTATAACTGCGAGTTACACATAGACAAAATTAAATATAATATATAGTTTAATGTTATTTATAGTTGTTGTAATTGTTAACTAATTCTAAATATTTATTTGTTTAATGTTTTAATTTATATTATTATAATTAATTAAAACATCAAACATTATTTTTTTTTATTTAAAAGATAACTATATAATCATTTATATATAGTTGTTTTTAACTATTGTTATTATAAGTTATTTTAAGCTACTCATTTGGAAACATTTAACGATTATAAAAATATATTTAGAAAATATTTTAGTTAAATTGAGAGTACAATTTAGTTTTTACATTTATCACTACAAATTATTACTTTTAATTATCTACAAAATATTATTTGGGTTTTTAAGTGGAACTAAAATTTATATTTAGATTGATATTATAATACGCAGAAATACCTATATAGTTGAAGTCTTTACAATATATGTTTTATTTAAATATAACAATAATATTGTTGTTAAATTTGATATAATAAATCGTATACTAAGTTGATATATAGGATATTGACTATTTTGAATTATATGATAATATATACTTCTATTATAACTTCATAATCAATCGTTTGAATGGCTTCTACTCGTGAGTTATATTCGAACAAAATTAAATCCAATGTATAGTTTAATGTTATTTATAGTTGTTGTTATTGTTAACTAATTTCTTAAAATGTATTTGCTTAATCTTTTGATTTCTATCATTATATTTATTTAAAATATGAAACATTACTTTTTTTATTTGAAAGATAAAAATATAATCATTTATATAGAGTTATTCTTAACTATTTGGTATTGTAAGTGTGGCAACCCGGTATTTCAACTCTTTGTAATGGCCTAATAGGTCAACTATTGTAACCACTTTTGAATTAATAAAATTAACGTTAATAATAAAATGTCCAAAAACTTTCTATTTAACTACCTACAATGTTTTATATCATTAAACCGGGATCGTAAGTAAAAAGAATGCCCAAATCCGGCTTCGTATACTGAAGTTAATTTTTTTCCAAATTCGGCTTAAGCAACAGACAACTAAAAACTCGAATCGGAGATCGAGCGACTTTTGGCCGGAATAACCTAAACGAGAATCGAAGGTCTCGACAATGGTATTTCATCGGTAAAAAGTCTGGCAAAAACCGACGTCAGATAAAGAAGTTATGAATTGTTTAAGGAAATTTCTTAATCACGACATTTTATAAATAAATAATAAAAATAATATCCGAATTTGTTGATGGAATCTAAACGAAAGTTGTAGAGTATGGTCTCACCTTCGCTGGGATATAAAGAATATCGAAAACGAAGTTCGTATGAAGAAGATATGAATTTTTGAAGTTTATTAAATAAATTATATATTTATTTAAATCAAAATCCGGTATTATCCGAAGGGGGAGTCAGCGTACTCATCCGAGTTACGCGCCGCGTAACCTCGTACGCCCCGCGTACGCGAAGGCCTTGGCCTCGGATCGTCCACGTCGCGCCTATGCGAACCACCGACCTGTCCCATCCGAGCTCCGAGGCAGTCGAAGACTCGGTCACGCATGACGTACGCGTACGCCCACCGTACGTGCGTACACCCCGCGTAACGAGGCCTCTCAGCCTCCTATAAATAGAGATGCGAGGGTTCAGGGAAATCCACCCCATCTCTCTCATTTCTTTCACGATATTGCCTCGATTTCCGTGCCCGCACTACCCCGAATCCCTGGTCATTTTGCTCAAGTCCTGAAGGTCGATTTTACTCCCGAGATTCCCGAGAATCCCGAGAAAAATCCGTTTCCTGAGACGAAACTCTGCCCGGTTTTTCCATCTCGCTATCTTCAGACTTTCAAGTGAGTTCATACCCCTTAATTGACCCTTTTTAAATATTCTAAATGCTTTTATATGCTTTCTAGGGGGGAGGGGGGAGGGGGGAAATACAAGTAAAACACACGACTACTATCGGGTGTTATATATAAAGATTATTATACACTTTTATTAAGTAGAATCATATGTGATTTATAAAGTTTATAGGGAACTCCCGTATACAAAATATATTATAATAGCATTCTATCTTTAAAACTATAAATTGTTGTAATGCATGAATAAACTAAACATTTTTCCTAGATTTAATGTATATGTGTCTATCTTAGGCTCTACAAAAATCTATGCTTTCATAACAAGTGATTCCTTTTCTAGATATTCTAAAACAAACGAGGCACACTTTTAGAAAACTATAATAGGTATAGTTTTATGAGGATATTGATAACTTTTACATACTAGAAACACGATTTTCAAGAAATCACTTTCATATACAAGAGCAAACGAACATTTTAACACGTAAATTTGTTTTTATACTACAGTTATGTGAGACATTAACTTCACGTACGTTCGAGTACACATTTCAAGTCCTGTATTATATACCAGAATCCCTTGGAGGGGGAGCATGGTGTTTGTGTATAGATCTATACGGGCTTGACAACCCGCGCCTTGACTGTTAGCTACAGTCCACCATTTGGGGTGACAAACGTCATAACATTCCAACGCCTGAAGAACGTTGTGTATAGGCATTCCAAGTCAATACATTGATTTACGAGGTTTTCAAACATATTGGTTATTTTTATACTTACATACATTTTTGGAAACAAACTTTGGTCTTGAAGGAAGACTACGTTTATACTAGTAGAAAATATAGGATTTTCTAAACACAAACAAACAAGGACAAGACATTTCATTTCATACAAACATTGTCATTAAATACTTATGAAACTCACCAGCTTAAATGCTGATCTACTCTTTCAAAATTACTTGTATGTCCCAGGGATTCAGTAAGTACACGTATCATTATGTTTTTGATGAAGGGATGCTGCGGCGCCAGTTTAATCTCATATTTTGACATCATTTTGTAATTGGTTTTGAACATGTAAATTTTGACAAATGTAAACTTTCAATTATATATATGATGGTTGTATTGGTTTCTTTACTATGTATTCATTTGTTACGTTACCACGTGAAGTTATCCGCCCCCGAACGTTTCCGCCGTTCAGGTTTGGGGGTGTGACAGATTTGTATCAGAGCAATGTTTATAGTGAACTAAGTATATCGAACCTCATAAGATATACAAACTATAAATGCTTAGGGACTCAAAGTCTCTGACAAAAGTTTTTTGTACCTAAAATCCTTATTTCACATAAATAGATTATTTTAGGTTATAAAAATCCGAAATACATGCATACAACAACACATTTTTATGATAAGAACTATACAAAAAGTATTAGGACAAGTTGGACACTACGACTAATTCTCGAGATATGTAATCAAATTTGGGACGAATATAGCCTGATCAATTATGTTTATCCGAAATTTGACTAACGTATGTCAAGGAATGATCGTAGTGAGCAACAAGTCAAAACTTAAAAAAATAGACACTAGTATCTAACGTACAAATTAAATACTATAGGAGTTTTGGTGCATACACTAGATTAATTAGTATTACATGTCTCAAGTTTTATTCAAATATTATAACCCTATTCTCGTATAGTCAAATGGCTGGATTTCACCCGCATGGAGACCCCTACTATCCACAACAAGGCAATGGAGGATGGATTGAAGAGGATCTGGAGGAGGACGGAGAGCCCATTGAGTTGGATGGCAGGGACGACTCCGGGACGGACTCGGAACCGAAAATAGTCAACCCTCCACCCATTAGGAGGAACTTTCTAGGTCCGATTCCTGTTTGGGGAAGTCACCTCGTGCACTGGAGCCAACAACAAGGGATACACTTTCCTTACGAAATGTGTCGAGATTTCTACAACATCGGGGACGGAGGTTCAGCCGACCGAGCACTTCCAGCAATGAT